TTCACTTGCTGGAGTTACAAAGGAATGCATGCAGATTCCCCTGCATAGCTGCGGAGGTACATAAATGTAAGATAAGGAGTCGTTCTAGTTTCCTACCTTAAAAATGAAACAAATTTAAAATATTCTTTGTGGGATACCAGTATTGGAGTGCTAAACAGACAAGTTTAAAAGTCTTAAGTATCAAAAATTAATGTTGGGAAAATAATCCTGCAATTAATTTTACACGCTTCCTTATTAATACTTTAAACAGCATTGTGGCAGGATCTTGTAACAGCCTACGTATTTAACAGCCTGCTGGTAATTTCCATTTTAAAAGGTTTTTTTGGTTATAGTCTTTGTGTTTTAGGCTTTTTTTTCCTCTTCTGAGAAATGCTAACATGTCATTAAATTCAGTTGGCCATTGAAATTAGTCTGGACAAAGTCCTCTTTCTGAAAAGTGTCCTTTTTGTTGCTTCATGGAATTCCACAGAGGTTTAAGAGAATTAGAAATTCTTAAAAATCACCATTTCCTACTGTTGCTTGCATTCCACGGGTGCAGCCTGGCATCGTACCAAAATGACAGCAAGCAGCCCAGCTGGAGAGGGCAGGTTTGGCTGCAGCTGAAGTAACAGGGCTGTTAATGGGCACGTCTAGGTACAGCTGCAGGAGTGGCATGAGGGAGTGAAGATGGCGACTGTGTCTAATGCACAGGCTTGAGGTTTGGCTGCCCTGTTCCGTACAGCCCCGTGAGAGAAGAGCAGGCTGCCTTCCCTCAGCAGCCCTCTTTGCCTTGTACATAATGCTGCCTTGTGGGTGTGCTGGGCTGGGATGAGTGGAGGCTGCTTCCATCACAGCAGCCCCTGTCTGTGGAACTGCACAGTAGCTGTGCCGCTGGCTGACATGGAGGCAGTAGCCCGGTGGGTTTGGGGCAGGTGCTGAGCCCTGCTGGCACAATGTCAGGACTGTCTCAGTTCCCCACGCTGCCCCTTACAGCAAGTCAGCGCTGGGTGGGTGAGAGCTGGGACAGGGCATGGTGGGACAGCTGACTGTGGGGATTTTCTGTGTTGTTTGCATTGTGCTCTGTGTAAAAAGGTCGGGGAAAGGAGGAGGAAAGAGGACGTTTGTGGTCACGGTGTTCGTCTTTGCTCTCCAGCAGCCACTAGGCAAGCTGAAGCCCAGCTTTCCAGGAAGTGGCTGGACATCTGCCTGCCGGTAGACAGCAGCAGATGAATTACTTCTTTCATTTTGTTTGTGCACACAGCTTTTGCTTCCCTTATTAAAGCGGCGGTCCCGCGATCCACAAGTCTGCTCACCTTCCTTCTGTTTTCTCTCCATCCTGCTGGTGTGGGTGCTGAGCGTGTGGCCGACACACATCCGGCCCAGGGCAGCAGGCATGTCTGGCTGCTGGCAGCCAGCGAGTTGCCTCCACGTCACATCCCTGTCTGTGAGCTGTTAAGGCTTGCACTTGACTGGTAGGGTTGCTCTTCTTTTTATCATCTCTTAAGTGAGTTTTTTAGCTGTATCGAAATCAGTTTTCAGCTTTCCTACTTAGCCAGTAGGAGATGTGCTTATTTGCACACCTGATGGATCCCACTTCATGTTGCACTGCAGCATTTAATTATGATGGCTTTTTTTTTTTTTTCCCTAATGAGGTGATTGCTTCAATTGTTACAAAAACTGGGAAGGATTAAGGTGACTCAGGCAGACAAAATACATTAATTCCTTTCAGCCATTTGGGTTTGCAATCTAAGTGACTTTCTTTAATTTTGTCTATATTAGGTAGTTAAGTAAAGGATAATTACAATGCTGAAAAGACTTTCTCTGTCGAACTATATATATGATCTTTCAAACATTGGTGCCATGAAAGGCTTCTGGCTGTGGTAGGTAACTATTTTAATATAAGGATTAAAAAAACATCGTGGCTTAGTAGACATTTCAACACAGCCAAATATGTGTATAACAAATAGAAGTGCAGTGCAGATTGTTATAGAGAAAATATCTGTAAAGTGCCTGCTTTAGTTTCCATGAAGTCATTTTGTTTCCATATAGAAAAGAGACTTTCTTCAGCTCTACAAACTTAAGGAGAACAGATACGGTTTTTGTTTTTGTTTCGTTTTTGTATATATATGATATGCCGAAATGTTACGCTTTAGCAAAAAATAGTAAGCTAGGGGAGGGGGAAGAGAGTTTTAAGTCTATGTATCAGAAGCACTGAAATTATATTTGAAAACAGATATCTTGCTCCTGAAGAAATCTTCTCTCTGCTGTTTCCATAAGGTTCTGTTAATGTTTTTTAAAGAAGCTCACAGGGGGCTGTTGTGTGCCTAAAGTAGATTGTTGTTGATTAGGGGTTTTTTGCTAACTGGATCAAGTTTTAGCCTTTACATCATTAAGTCCTTATATTCAAAACAATATTTGTGTTGCGCACTGTGGAGCACAAAATACAGGGTTGCAGCTTAAGGTCATTTGAGAGCTGAGGATGTCACATGGCATCTCTGGAGTAAGTCATGGGGAGTTTTGCAATTACTTATTGCAGTAGTGCCACTGCTGGAGCTTTTACAAACAATGAAAAGAGGGTGCTTATATGTAAGTGCTAGCTGCCATTGTAATATTTTCTGGTACTTAAAATGTCGTCTCCAGTTTTTATAGTGGCCAAACTAACAAATTTGTAAGAGCTACAAAGAGCCTTAGATATGTTTCCTTTCCTTTCCTCTCCATTTGGAAAAGTATGTGTTTATTGACAGCAGGCCTTGTGTACAGTAAGGGCGTATTTTTCAAGGTGTTGTCAGAGCTTAAGGATACCTTGGCTTTGTTTTTCCCACATACTGATCAACTTTGTATGCTTGGAAATGCTTCTTCAGGGCTGTGGATCTAGCTGTGAAGCACCACTTCTGTTACCTCAAAGATGAGGGCTGTGGGCGAAGATACAGACTGATAGCTGTGGGTACAGTCAGTTCAGTATTCCATGAGGCCTTTGAATTGTGGTCCATAATTTGAGTACTCCTATAAACAGATGCTATTAAAATTCTTATTATCAAAGAAGTGCTAAGAAGAAAGAAAGAACAGTAATAAGAACACTGCAACAGATTGTTGTAGTGATAATAGCTAGGAGTAAGGGAGAGCTATTTTGCTGTGGGACATATAGGATAATGATGATATCTACTGTGTTCAGCAACTTGCATTAAAAACAAACCAGTGTTCTTTCCTTCTCTTGGCTTGGAATTTCTGTTTCGGTTTATGTTCTCAGCATTGGGATCTGGAATCATAAGAAGGTGGAGTAGAGGCTGATACTGGTCCTTTTCTTGGCATTCCTGACTGTTCCAGCAGTTGCAAGGGTTCCCACTACAGTGAGATGATCCAGTTTTTTCCTTTGTGCTCATCTGTTTTGATGAGCTACCTGAATTTTCTGAAGAATACAATGAATATTAGGGTGAAAAGCTTTTTTGTGAATTTATTAAAAAATTTTTAATAATCTGAAACCCTCAGAAATGGGGGAGTAGGGCAGTTCTCTCTTCAGATGACTCAAGTTCTACTGAATTTGAGTTGCCTGTTACAAAAATAATAGCAGAGCTCATCGAAAAGAAGGAAACTTCTTTAGTGGAAAATACAGTTTTACTGAAGGATTACAGCTTGCTCTCATTATAATTAATTAGTTCCTCCACTATTCCCAAAACCACATAGGCACTTTTAGCATTGCCAATGTTTTAACATTTTTGAAATGCCAAAGTTGAAAATTAGTAAAGAAATGGTAAGCTGCCAAAAGTGAGGGATCTTTTTGTTTTCTTTTAATTGATCTTCAAAATGTTGGTCAAAGCTACCATTCTGTGAACAGTACTCCTTTTGTTTGAATACTGTTGTTCCAATTTGAAAATTATGTACAGAGTACAAAATGCAGACACTGAATTTTCCAGTTTTGCAGAGAGGCTACTGTTGAGCAACAAAGCAGAAACTAACAGAGACTTTGTGCTCTATGCTGAAGCAGGTATGAGGGGTGAAAGAAAAACAAGAGGGTCAAATGCCAGAAGTTAAACCTTTCTTGACAGCTCTCCAAAAATTGGTCTGTATGTGGTGGCTGTAGTGAAATAGCACATGTAGGTCAATCACTTTGGAGGTTGAAGGGGTTGTGAGTTAGCACTTCTGTCCTGCCTGAAATTCAGTTAATTGCACAAATAAACTTATTCTTTAATATATTTTAAATTACATTTTTTACTCAGCTCGTGTTCCGGGTACACATACAGATCATACATAGACGTGGATCAAATACAGAGCCAACGCTGAAAGCTTAGTAAGTTGTCTACTCAGATCTCAAGTCCTGAGAAGTCTGATGATCCAGTTCTTTGGCAGCCTAAGCCAATTTAGCTGCTGGCTTCCTGGGATTGCCCTGCTGTCTCCTTTGCCCCATGTTCAGGCTGTGAGCTTTTCTGACCTTACACTGAACCTTTTTTGAGCACAGCGTTGGCAGGAAGCTACGCACTTTGTGTGAGATAGTTTCTCAGTGATTTAGCATGCTGAAATAGTTCAAAGCTGCTGCAAAGACACGAGTAGAAACACATGGCCAAGGCTGAGGGGAACAGAACGGGGTTGTCACTGTTATTAGAATCTAGAAGTTTATAACCTTCATTGATCAGAGAAAGTAATATATTTTGAATTGTGGTGGTATCTTGTTACTGTAATTGTAATATCAAAATAAATGTGTTAACTACTCTTTAAATTCTTATTTTCCAGCATTCCAGGTATTTGTAAGTGTTCTAGTAAAGTCAACGGATGTGTCCACAATGCAGTTAATTACATTTTAGTATTTCATTCTTCTTGTTTTGTTAAAGTAAGTTTGATTTTTTTATTAAACAACTTGAAGTATAATTAGAAGAGAGTGTGGTTTTAAAAACAACTTCATTTCAGCTTCATATTTCAGTTTTAAGCGGTAACGCCATAGTAACGATAACACCAACCAGTGTAAAAATATGCTTTAGGAAATCCTGAATTATACTTGACACTTCTCTTTTTAATGTTACTTACTGCAGGATTTGAACAAGCGTTTGTCCCTGCCTGCTGATATCAGGATACCCGATGGCTATCTTGAAAAGTTACAGATTAACAGCCCGCCGTTTGATCAGCCCATGAGCAGACGATCTCGTAGAGCATCTCTAGTAAGTGTAATGCATCTCCTTGACCTCCTGGGTCTTAAGATTCCATTTAATGCAGATGTCCCTGTATACTAGAAATGTAATTCAACTTCATTTGCACCTTGACTTCTATGTCCTGAAGGACAGGGCAATTTGGTGTGTACTGAGCACCTTAAAAATCCACTTAAACAACATGCTTTCCTTTCATTCTCTTTCCCTTCTCTCTTCTGCAAACTTTTCCCTGTCATTTCATCCTGTGAGGATCTTGAGCTGTTGAAACCTGTGGCTAAATTTTACTGCTGTAGTACATCCAACAGTACACTGTTTTGAACTGTGATGATCATTTGATCCAAGAGCATCTCTAGACTTAGGTCCATAGTGTGTGTCTTGTCACAGAGTAGGAGGGCTCTAAAGTAGCATAATGTGAAGACAGCTATTCACTTTTCTTTCTGTATTTTTTAACAATTTTTCTTTCTCAAATTTGCTGTTGAAATGATTGTGTTTTTTGAGAACCGTATATGAATTCATAAGAATATTAATAAATAAATTCTTATTTACCTTTTCAGGTATATCTTTTTATTGAGTTATTTCTTTGTGAATGGCAGAAGGAGGATTCCTACATACTGCTAAAAATACCAGAGATCCTGGTTAAATGTTAAATATGCACAACCTTGAAATAGTCCAAAAACTAGATTTTTCTTCTTTTTGCAAAGGCCATTCAATTTTAGCCATTATTTGATTGTAATTAAGTTGTGGTTTACTAAAGCCCTGATCTGCATGTTATCTTTTGCAAGAACATTATTAAAAGAAGGGATGATTGGATCAAAGCACTGGAAGTAGTAGTAATGTAGCAAGCTTTAAACTACTTACTTACTCATGTAGCATTGAATAGGGGACTGTATTTTCCAGAATCTTCTCAGAAGTTACTGTACTGAAGTACCTTTCAATAGAGCCTTTTTGGTGGTGGAATGTAATATTTGAAGGCAAGGGGAGTTCCCCGTGTATCTTATTTTTGTTGCTCTTTTAACATTGAGCTGTTGAGTCCCCTCCTCTTTCCATTCTAGAAGAATGAAAGAAAAACACTGCCCTCTAATGAATATGATCTGTGTATGGAATCAACTTCCTGTCACAAGGTTGTTTTGTTTTGAATTATGAAAATGATTTTCAGGGCTTGAAGGCCCAAGTTAAATCTGCCACCAGTGCTGGGTTCTCTGCATTGTTCTCTCATTATTTCAAAATAACCTAGAATAATTATTCTGAGATTGTCACTGAAAGCTTGCTAGCAGGCTAGTATTTACAATATGTGAATATTGTTTGCTGCTTTAAAATGCATGTCTCTCTTCAAGGCTTAGTAGGTATCAAAATAGAAAAACAGCAAAAATTATTGAGAACTTGTTATGCTTTAGGTCTGGTCAGTTTCTTTGGAAAAATGAGCTTTTATGGTAATTTCATTTTGTGTATACTGGTACAGTATTGCATTCACAGCAGTAAAGATGCTTCTCTTATGCACGAACCTCTGTAAATAAGAGACCGTAAATAGAATCTGTCAGTGTTTCTGGGTAAATGAAGACGAGCAGATGATTTCTACATGAGAAATTTTTTGTTTTTCAGAAGTTGTTAGTATTAAAGATTCTAAGAAATCAGGCTTTGAAGTTTTATTTCCAATTTTCTGGCAATAATAAGACTAATGGGTTCAAGGTCTCATTTATTTTCTCCTTTCAATTCAGAGTTCTATCTTTTAATTCTGATACCACTTCACAATATATCTGTAGGTCAAAATACACTTTGGAAACATAATGTTTACTTTACTAACATTATTCCTGCATTAAATGGGACATTTAAAATCTCACTGGAGTAGTAAGAATTGTCAGTATCAACTTTGCTTTTATATGAGCTTGATGCTAAAATATCCTTGTGCAGCATTAAAATAGTTCAATCTTAACACTAATTTAAGAAACGAGAATTACTCTTTGTACTTTCATGTTAACTGAATTACGTGCCCATTTTTTCTCTTGGATATGTCAAAAGCATTTGTAGACAAGGTCTTAAATTTACTTTGTGTTTTCACGTTCTGAAAATGAACAGGGGTATTTTTGTCACTACCGTCGTAGTATGTTGCTGTCAGGTCTTAGTCCAGTCAACAGTATTTGTGTTGCACAGTGATATAACATACAGTCTAACATCCTTTGGATTTTAGGAGCAAATCAACTTTCTCTGACCTCTGGATATAATTGCTGAAACCAGTCAGGGATCAGAGTATCTTTCCTTAGAAAGAAATACTATGTGTGGAAGTGGAAGGAGGAGGTGATGCTAGAAAACTTGGCTTTTTTGTGTTACAGTATGTTCGTTTGTCTGTAAGGCAAATCCTCATGAAACCAGTGGGGGGGATTTTGGCATGCTACAGGCTACATGCACTTTGTAAATCAGTTTTAAAAGTGTCATATTTTATATCTGATTTCAACATTCTTATGCTGTAAGAGCAATATAAAAATTTGGAGTAACTGAGAATGGTCTTAAACAGAAAGAACTTTAATAGATGACTATTAAATATGAGAGTAACAATGGGTTTAAATGGAAAGAAAATAATGATCTTTGAGGCTGTCTTCCAAAGGCATAGACAGATAAGCTGTCTTGACATGCATTATAGGGGTAAGTCTTTGACCAAAAATAAAGAAGGTGAATAGATCCAAATAAAATACTTGAAGTCTTGAAATTAGGAGCCATGAAATGTAAATTGTTGAAAAAAAAAAAGCTGACGTTCATGGAGGGATGATGTTTAAGGATTTTACTGGTGGAGTGTTAGACTGGAAAGGCTTTGAGAGGTCAGAATGGAAGAGGAGACCAGCAGCAGAGATCTTCGTTGTTTTCCATGTATTTGTAAAGAGAAAATAAATAATGAAAATTAGTTTGAAAGAAGCAGCTGCATATGGATATGCTAGCCAAGGGAAAGGATGGAATTGAGATGACTTCTGTGCCTTAAGTATAATAGGCTCATTAGTAATCAGATCAGAAGAGCGAGGACAATTTGCAGGTAGGTAAAGTGGGGGTAGTTTTCCCAGGATATGCAGTAGACTAACTGTCTGAATATTAGGCTTGGATGCTTTTGTATCATAATATGCTGAATCATTTTTAAAATAACTGGATTTCTTGAAGTTTGCTGTAATACTGTCAGATATTTTTCTGAAAGAAAATTCAGTTCGTTGATTAAATTATGTAAACGGCAGATGATTAAATGAATAAAGGTGTCAGTTTTGGTGGGGTTTTTTTGGTCAATTTTCATTTATTTTCTTTGCAGTCAGAAATTGGATTTGGAAAAATGGAAACCTATATCAAGTTAGAAAAACTTGGAGAGGTATGTATAGATTTCTTTTGAAATGATTCCTCCTTTGCTTACATTTCATTATTGGGTAGATGACTGAGCACTTGCAGAGGGTACCCAGAGAGGTTTTGGAGTCCCCTTCTTTGGTGATCTACAAAAACCATCTGGATGTGGTCCTAAACTATCTCCTCTGGGTGTCTCTGCTTGGATTAAGGGGGCTGGACCAAATGACTTCCAGAGATCCCATCCAGTCTCAGCCATTTTGTGATTCTATGATCTGAAAGCAGTGATTTATGTGAAATTGATATCAGCGTTAACTGAAAATCTCTATAACCTTGGAGATATCTGTTCAATTCCTCTTTGCAGTAAATCGAACATTTGACATTGCATGCCAGTGCCACTACCACAGAAATGTTCTGTGCATATATAATAATAAAAAGAACAGGAAAAGCATCACTGAGTTGGGGAAGGGCATGATTTAAGTAATACTGTTTTATTTGCCTTTCCTTTTGGGAGGGCAGTAATGTGGCTTATCTCTCAACCAGCCAGTGATTTTCAGAAAAAATACAGGATTCAGGAGGAATCAGTTTGAGAGTGACCAGCAGTATCAAAGAAGGATACAGATGGGACACACAGAATGTTACAGAAGCAATCATAGTGTGAATATTGCAGTTAGTCCTCCATTTGCAGCATTCTCATTCCCAAACACTTTTTTTTTTCTCTAGTACTTGTTAGGTACCTCACTAGGCCCAGCTCTGGAGAAACATTAATCTAGTAGCTATCAAGTCCTAACTGTGCATTTTATCCCACTGATGTTACAAAGTGTAATGGAAAGTACAGGATGTATCTGTGGTAATGTAAGGCACTTTCTGTAACTTGTTTCTTCCTCTTGCAATTCATGATGTTAGTTATGCTTACTGTTTTGTTGGAATTTCTTGTTGTGTTTGAGTCTTTTATTGTCTGCAAAAACTGAAAAAGATGAAGTTCATGATATTCGTGTTCAGTATGTCAGCAAAAATAAAACTTTGACTTGTTCTCTTCCCAAAACATTCTCATGTAAAACACTTAGCAATTACAAGAAACAATGACCAGAAGGAATTATGTATTTCTAAAAATAGTGATAGAATTTGTCAGCTGCCATTGGAAACTTAACTGTAGCACAGTATACCCATACCTGAGATAGTTTTAATCATAGACTCATAGAATGACTTGTGCTGGAAGAGATCTTAAACACCATCTAGTTCCAGTTCCTCTGGACAGGGTTGCCAGCCACTAAATCAGACACTAGAAGAGGTTGCCTAGGGCCCCATTCAACGTGGCCTTGGAACATCTCCAGGGATGGGGCATCCACAGCTTCTCTGTGCAACCTTTTCTCTGTTCCAGTGCCTCACAACCCTGTGAGTAGAGAATTTCTTCCTTATTTCTCATCTGAACCTACTGCCTTTTAGTTTAAGGCCGTTACTCCTTGTGCTGTCACTGTCAGACTGTAAAACATCAGTATCCCTCCTGACTGTAAACTCACAACTGCAGGCTCATACTTGTGGCTGTTTAAAGTGATAAATTATAGCAGCAGTGAACTTAGTACAAGTTGATCAAACTTCTTTGATGGGTACGTGGTGTACATCTTTTTGTGTAATTTCAGTTAGTAAGTATATGCATCCCTTGTTGTCTTTTGTGTGTTCAGATGTTTACAAAATATTTTTCTAGCTTAACCTCTCTTAAAAAAAAAAAAAAAGGAAAAGCTAGTCTTAGCCCAGATGAAAGCTATTTCAACCTTAGATGGAAGTTTCTTTTCTTTTTGATCTTTCAATGAAGAAGCAACTTCTTTTCCCATTTTGTAGGGTACTTATGCAACAGTTTATAAGGGGAGAAGTAAATTGACAGAGAACCTGGTGGCTCTGAAAGAAATTCGCTTGGAGCACGAAGAGGGAGCGCCTTGTACAGCCATAAGAGAAGGTGAAAACTTTTGTAACTCTTCAGAATATCAGATACTTCCAGCTTTCTTTTTGACTTAAGCATTGTTAGTGCTTGGAAATATATCAGCTATATGGGATGTTAAAAAAAACTGATACTTGTTTTGATGAGGAAAATTTTAATCTTAGCCATGTTAAGAGTTAATGTTTCAAACGATATGGGGGATGTTTGTGTTTTCAAGCATAGTATTAGAAATGAATGAATTTATACTGAATTAGACTAATACTAGTCATTTTTAGGGATTCAGAATACATTGTATGAAATGACTGCTTCTGCTCAAACAGTACTGTATAGGAAATAATTACATTTTTTTACCTAAATGTGCGTGATATTTTGATTAAATACATTTCCTTTACTTGGATTAAATTAATGCAGTATGAATATTATGGTCTTAAAAATAGCTTTTTAATTTTTTTGAAAAAATTAACTTACACGTGTGAACTTATTAGAAATGCATTTATTGCATCTTTTGTTTTTGTCATTAATTTGCTTTACATTTAAAATTCTTCTTTGCAGTGTCATTATTAAAAGACCTGAAGCATGCGAACATTGTTACGTTACATGACATTGTTCACACAGACAAGTCTTTGACTCTTGTTTTCGAATATCTGGTAAGCCTTTAAAACAACTAGTGAGCTTTATATTCCATTGATTTCCTTAAAAATACTGAGTAACACAAAGACAGCAAATATATATATTTTTTTAATACTCTATTTTTATCCTGCTTATAGACTTATTAGACTGAAAATTATACAGCTGTATTCAGTTCTCAGAGCGCTGTAAATTGGCAGATACTGTTCTGATTCATACCAACTCATACCAAATTCAGTAACTATTAAAGGATAATTATGCTGTTATCTCACAGGGATTTTTTCACAACTTTTGCAAATGGTCTTAGTCTCTTAAGACAGATGATAGTAAATTAGGTGGAGCTTTTGACACCCTCGAGGGTAGAGAGGCCATACACAGAGATATTGACAAATTAAAGGGTTGGACAATCACCAACTCATGAAGATTAACAAGAGCAAGGGCTGGATTCTGTACCTGGGATGGAGCAACCCTGAATACATTTACAGGGTGGGAGATGAAAGGCTGGAGAGCAGCCACACAGAAAAGGGTATGGGGGCTCTGGTTGAACATGGGGGTTCAGCAGGGTGCCCTGGCAGCCAAAAGGGCCAACTGTATCCTGGGATGCACCAGGCACAGCACTGTCAGCCAGGCAGACCTCAAGTACTGGGTGCAGGTTTGGGCACCACACTTATAAGAAGGACATAAAGTTATTAGAGAGCTTCCAAAGGAGGTGAAAGGTGGTGAAAGGTCTAGAGGGCATTGCATATGGGGAGCAGGTTAGGTTCCTTGGTTTGTTCAGCTCAGAGAAGAGGAGCTGAGGGGAGGCCTTTATGGCAGCTCACAGCTCCTCACAAGGTGGGTGGAGGGGACAGCTCTGAGCTCTGCTTTCTAGTGACAGCAACAGGACCCAAGGAAACAGCATGGAGCTGAGTCAGTGGAGAGTAAGGTTGTATGTCAGGAAAAGGCTCCTCACCAGAGGATGATCAGGCACTGGAGTGGGCTCCCCAGTGCAGTGACCACGGCAGTGGTCACAGACCTGATGGAGTTCAGAGTTGTCCAAACACTTCTTGACATAGGGTTTGAATTTTGAGTGGTCCTGTGTGGACTCAACAAACGTTTTGGGTCCCTTTCAAGTCAGGATATTCTGTGATTTTATAATTAGGAAAAAAACATACTTTGAAGTATACAACTTCGCATTCCATCTTTTTGTAGCACTCTTATAAAGCAAATATCCACAGTTACATCTCTCATTTCACAGTTTACTTTTCCGTTGTATACTTTTTGCTTTCTCACTGAATCTTTAATGATATTTTTGTATAGCATCACATATATATGCGTATGTAAACATAATAAGAGGATTGAAAAAAATGTACTTCCAATGTAAGTGGAGAATGTAGCAGTTTCACTTAAAAGAAAAAAAATAAATAAATAAATTGTGGAACTCACTGGTTGGAAGGTAAAGAAATAACAAGTAACATTATCTAGGATAATGCAGCTTGATGGAAAGCTTGGGTGGTTTTGCCCTCTGGAAAAGACAGTTTTCTCCATGGTCAGACTTCTGTGTTTTGGTTGTTTTGTTTGTTGTTTGTTTGTTTGTTTGTTTTACCAAATACTGAACTTCAAAAAACTCAAGTTTTCTGATGAAAGACTTCTTGTAATAAAAGATGATGCTCACATAATCTGTTGTCCATAATTTTACTGAAAAGTAATCATCTTTTGACAGGACAAGGATCTGAAGCAGTACATGGATGACTGTGGTAACATCATGAGTATGCACAATGTAAAAGTGAGTATTCTAGTGAGCTTTCCACTTTTCTGTTCTGACAGAAGAATTTCAGATAACTTAATAATCAGGAGCTATAAGATTTAAAGCTTTCAAAAAAAAAAACCCACCTTTCTTTTGACCATTGGACCTGACTCAACTACATTTAATCAAATGGAGTCTTTCTTTTTGCTTTTGATAACCTTTAAGTGTTTAAGGCAATAAAAAGAATTTATATAGCTTTATATAGGATTTCATTCTCTTTGACATTACACATTTAAAACAAAAATTTTCTTAAAAGTAATATATCTATAATTGTATTGACATCTTTCCATTATTGTGTACTCATTGAGGTAAGTCCTTATTTTGGTACGTCCTCAAACTCTGTGTACTCAGCAAGGAAAATGTGACCTCAGTCATTATAGCGGGTTTGGATTCCTGTGTTACTGTCTGTAACACAAGAAAGATGCTTTAATTTGTTTTTAACATTAAATTCTCCTCTCCATTAGCAATAAAATTATTTTATTAAGATTTAATTGACAGTCACTATTAACTGTAGCTGCGGCTGGGTCCCATGGCTCAGTTCCAAATCTGGCCTGGTGAGACTGATTCAGTTTCAAATGTCTCTTCTAAAAGCAGTTTGTCATTTGGAAATCTAGGATATCTGTTTATGTTTTTAAATACTACAGCTTTATGAGCAAGATTCCAAAGAGAGGAAGATACTAACTTGAATTAAGTTTCAGAGAAGGCTGGGTTAACACAGTATTGACTTGCTGTCTTGCAACCTCTGCTGTACTGTACCTTCAAAGCAGCTTAATTAAGCTCTACGTAATTCGTATAAGGGTTAGTACTTGTATAATAAGCATACCTGAGAAAGTCTTTCATGCCTCTTGAGAAATATTGATTGTAATCTGTGATCCTACTGAACAGAACCATGAGTTCACAGATGAGATGGGAAAGCTACTTTTATTCTTAGACAGCAGTGCACAGCGCAAATTTCATTCACAAGTCACTGTTCCAAATAATGAGAAATGATGGATTTCTTATACATACCAGTAGAGTTGTCATCCATGTTTTTGGCTTAGGTGCATGTTGAGAAATCTGTACTGTGTTGAATTGCATATGGGGTTTAGCTTAGACACTGGTTAGGTTTTTCTTTTGTTCTGTTGTCACAGTAAATACTCCTAGGGAAAAAAAAATCCTCCTGGCCTAATCTGTTGCTTCCTTTGAGAATCTGTGAAAAGAAATTATTTAATTCATATCTACTTAGAGAGACAATATAAAACATAATTAAGCTTGTGTTTTCAATTAAATAGAAGTTAAGAAGTAGTGCTTTGAGCAGAAAAAGTAAAAAAGAACTGTAAATGGGAAGCTGGCTGCTTAAAGGAGTGCACAGTTAAGAGTTCAGGTAGAATCTGCTTGTGATAACCTGAGCTATGTAGAGAAAACTGTTTTTCCATGTTTGTCTGAGGTTTAAACTGCGTCCTAAGACTATACTGATACGGTCAGTACCTCTGGCACCAAAACAGCTGCTTAACTATGGTAGCTGTAAATGCTTAGAATACAACAGAATCACAGAATGGCCAGAGTTGGAAGGGACCTTGAGGATCATGAATCTCCAACCCCCCTGCCACACTCAGGGCCACCAACCATCCCACCTAATGCTAGACCAGGCTGCCCAGGGCCCCATCCAACCTGGCCTTGAACACCTCCAGGGACGGGGCATCCACAACCTCTCTGGGCAGCCTGTTCCAGCACCTCACCACTCTCTCTCTAAAGAACTTCCCCCTGACGTCCAACCCAAATCTTCCCTCCCTCATCTTCAAACCATTTCCCCTTGCCTGTTCTTATCTACCTTTCAAAGAGTTGATGTGTTAACTGTGGCAGTTGGGTTTATTATTATTATTCTACAGACTTCCTTGTCACCCTTTCTGTCACATTTTATATTTCTGAGTTGTAACAAAATGAGGATGTATAATAAAAAAAATGTGTGAGATCTCAGCAAATACTGCTGTTTGAAACAAAATTATGAGCTTGTGTGTATTGTCCTGTGAATTTAAAGAAAAATCCATGCCAACTGTCAGGAAGATCCACAATTACTGTAAAATAATCTGCATTACCCTCTTGACCAGCCCTTGCTGTCTCAGTGCACGCTAGGAATGGTTATCAATGCCTACAGCAGGTCTGGTAATACCATGTGGGAGTGGCTACCCTTGCAACAAAATAGGCTTGAACGAAGCTATTTGATTTCTCTTCTCTTCAAAAAAAGGAAGAGAGATTAAATCACTACAAATTTCATTTTTTCTTTAAGGTAAGCAGACTGAGAACAGATGCATGTAAACTACACCTGCTGTGTATTTGTCCAGCTTAGAGAAAAAAGAATTTTTAGTGTTACCTGATACAAAAATAAGCTGAAATGTTAGGAAATGGTCATATAAAAATTGATGCTGGCAAAAGCTACCCAGAAGTCTCGTGTTCAAATTCAGACTTTTTATACCTACAGAAACTGCAGTGATAAAGTAAACAGCTTTGTCTACCTTGGCTAAACCTTTCTTCATCCCTTAGTACCCTTAAGTCTACATATATGCAGCATTAATATGTATGACTGGAGTTGCTTGGCTGGCTGGCTTTTGCAAAGGACCAAAACAAACCTGTGTGTATCAAGGTGAGGGGATGAATATAAATGCCAGAGGCAGTGGGGTTGTGTTAGTAATTTTCATTTCTCCACATTTCATGAGCTTGTGAATCCTGTTGTATTTTTCCAGTAGTCTGCCAAAATATTCTTTACACAGTGTCGCACAGTTGGATGGAAAGAGTGCTGAGCTGCATTTTAATAAGGGATCCTGTGGCAGAAAGTAACTTGAGTATAGTCAGAGACAGTTACCTTTAAAGACATGAGTGTGGGAAACAGCGTTGGTAAATGCTTAAAAAAATAAATAGCCCTGTGATTCTCTTCAATTATGCAGAACATATCTCTCAAAATCTTTGTTGTAAAGTATCATGGAAAAGCAGTACATTAGCATAAAAGGATTTTAAATCTGATACTCAAGAGTGTGCTCATATGGAAAGTTAATTCACTTCTTGAGAAGTATTTTTGTCTTGCTTACAGTACAGCGACTTAACTCTACAGTGCCCAAGTAGACTTCTATAGTTAATGTAATCTGAAGATTAATGTTTATGGTCTTATTTATTTAAATGTTCTCTTTTGTAGCTATTTTTATACCAAATTCTTCGTGGTTTGGCATACTGTCATAGGAGAAAGGTGCTACATCGAGATCTGAAGCCACAAAATCTACTAATTAATGAGAAAGGAGAACTGAAGCTAGCAGACTTTGGTATGGACTGGAATTCTTCTGTAATAAATATTTTCTTTATTCAGCATTGGGAAATTACTGAATGTAAACTATATTGACCTTTGAAATCTTTGAAACTGGGAATGTGTATTTGCACATTTGCACTGTGAACACTGGGAATATGAACCTAGGAAGTGTATTAATTAATCTTTTTTGTACATCCCTATCAGTTTAGTAGGCTGGGATTCAGGACCTTGTCCTTATTACTGTTGCTGTATCTCAGAAACCAGAGAAAGGCACGTTCTCCAGTCAGGATGTGTAGGGAAGAAATTTGCTGTCTGTGATGTAAAGGATATTAGAAAATGTACTCATAGATCAGACTGTTGTTTGAGGTTTGAAATTAGTCTTACTGCTTTGAAATTGGCACTTAGTCACATCCTTAAGTTGGAGCTCAAGTTCTTTTTGCTCATGCTCCATGGTAGCTCCAAAGCATAGGAATAACCAAAGTGAGCCAGAGAAAAGGTCTGTCTTCATATGATATTGTTAGGTGTTGCTCTATCACTTGAGTGGTACACCAAGTCCTTTTGGGATTTCCAGTGAGCACTTGCAGTAGAGCATGACCTTCACTGTTTCCTTTTATTTTTTATGTCAGGAAAGTCCTTAAAAAGTTGTGTGCCACAAGGGGTTTCACAGATCATGAGGGACAATGCTATGTTGATATGATGCTATGTTGATATAATGCTTTGTTGTTTTGATGTAATGTATAGAATTAGTGCAGGTTTTGATCTGCTCACTTATCTTCTATGCTTTAGAACACTTTCCATTATGTTAATGCACATACTGGGAGACAAATGACAGAAATTAGGACTCTTTAATTGAATATAATTCGAAAGGTATTTAATGGGTATATTAAGGTTGATTTCTCTCGTAAAAATCCTTTGTTAATTCCATGCAGAATGAGATTTAAGCAAAGCAGTATTGCATAAAAGCAGCACATTACCCCCTTATTTTCTTTTTTATCAAGGATTGGCTAGAGCAAAATCTGTTCCTACGAAGACCTATTCCAATGAAGTTGTCACGTTATGGTACAGACCACCTGATGTTCTCCTCGGATCTTCAGAGTATTCAACTCAAATTGACATGTGGTTTGTGCAACTTTGTCAAGTTTTAAGTTTTATTCTCTCTCCAGCTGAAAAGATGCCAACTCTTCATTACTATATAGTAGCATTCAAATACTAATTCTTTGAATTTTAGAAGCCTGCAACCAAGTTAGGTTTCGGAGAAATTCTGAATGCTTAATAACTTCGAGTTAACGTGCATCAGGCTGACATTTCTAGGGAAAAAAATTCACACATAATGCATGGTATTTACTGTGAGCTACAATACAATTGACTAACTTGACATCTGAGGGTACATTTGGTCTTTGGCAGTTCTTTTGTCGATGTATATCTTCTTTCAAAACTGTTTTTTTAATAGCAACATGTGTTTAATTAATAATTTGCTTATGTTTAAGATCTAAGTTACAGAAGACTTTAGGAACCGAAAATTGCTTTTTTTTTCTGATTTACCTTTGTGTTTCTGTAAAGGGGTGTTGGATGCATATTTTTTGAAATGGCATCAGGAAGGCCTCTCTTCCCGGGTTCAACTGTTGAAGATGAACTGCACTTAATTTTCAGGCTTCTGGGTAAATATGTGTTTCTAGCAGTACTGTCAGGGCTGTAAGTTTATTCTTCTAAATGCTCTTTCTGTGAGAACTGTATATCTTTAAAAAAAAAAAAAAAAAGGCATTTTATGTTCCATTGTATTTAAGGTGAATGACTGTATTCTTGATGAAAATTATCAAGCTGAGTGCGTAGATGAACTTGTACAGCATTGCCTTCTCTTTTCCTGTTCAAATTACAGGATTAAGTGCTTATTTATGTAGTTGTTTCTTCTACAATTTGGTGTGTTTTGTTTTCAAAGTTTAATTTGTTGCTTCTTTTAAATACAGGAACCCCATGTCAAGAAACATGGCCAGGCATTTCTTCCAGTGATGAATTTAGAAACTACAACTTTCCCAAATATAAACCACAACCCCTTATCAACCATGCACCAAGGTACTTTGTTTTTTACTAACAGAATGTATGCATCCCTATGTCTTTGAATATTTGTAAATGTGTGAACAAACTTCCAAATATGATATACTAGTTGTGTTACTGTGAGCAGATAATGCAAAGCATAATCCTGGTACTCTGTGCTTACTTTGTCAAATATCACTCAAGGCACCAAAGCTACATAATGACCTATAGAACTATAAAATCCCGTTAATAATGCCTGCATAGTGGGAGTATTCACTCAGTACTTCCAAGTTCTCCTCTGCTATATAATAGGCTCATTGTTAAAATGGCAAGGTTTCCTTGAGCAGTCTCTTGAAATCATTCTAAAATGTTATGAAGAATTTGCAGGGTCTGCATCAGTATTGTTAACAGCACAGAGATTATAAATAAACTGTATAACAAAGCCTAACACATTTTTAGTGACTCAGAAGAGAAAGATCTAACATTGTGTCCTTCCAGTAAATGACCTGGGTTGACCTACTAAACCACAATGCAGAGCTCAAGAGTTTTCTGTTCCCAGTATTTTCCAGATAGCCTTGTTCTGAGATACTGCTGCTTGTGTGTATACATATTCACAATCAAAAAAGTTGTTCAGATGAAAACATTGTTATGTTTAAATTTAATTTTAGTTGTAATATCATTTAATGAAATCAGTTACTTTGCAGATTGGCTTTTGTAAATAGTTCAACGACTGTTTTAATTTTCTTTTAATATTTTTCTTTTTAGGCTAGACACTGAAGGGATTGAATTGATAGCAAAGTTCCTTCAAGTAAGATGTGTTTGTGGCTTTACTTTAAATATGTGCAAGTTTAGAATATTAATATATTATGTTTAAAAAACCATGTATTGCAAGCATAGCAATTGTCAGATGTTAAGTTGAAGTGAAGCATGCTGCTGAGTCTGGAGTGGATACAGATATGGGAAGAATAAGTATGAGGCTGTATGTTGTAGGAATTTAAAAGCTGATGATTTTGGTTGTAGTTTTTGTTGGTGGTGGAATTTTTTATTGCCAGAGGCAATTTTTTCTCTGATTACTGTTAGTAAAAATGTAAAATCTGTAAAGTTCTGTGTTAGCCATTCTCTGAAAAACTGAAGCACTTTTGAACTTATATTTAAGCAGGATTTTTGAATACAGATGCTGTGTTTCTGTAAAGACAGACTTCTCTTACCAGTAGAGAAGCAGATACTAAGATGTAAGGGTACTCTTTGATCTTTCAAACTGTCTGTATTCAGAAGGTGAAGTAGTATATGGCTTTAATCTTTGAATCTGCATTAAAAAAGATCCTGAAGCAAAAGGAGGGGAAGCAAGATGGAGGACTGACTGTTAAGTGTTTGAATAGTTGGAGAAGTCCTGTAGCTTCACTGTGTTAAAAAGCATTAGTGTATTAGGAGTTAGGTTACCCTGTTTTGCAGCCATTTTATATCAGGTCTTCAACTATTTGCATGTTGTGTTGAACAGCACTTGCAGTTGCTGTCTAAACTTTGTTCTTAATTGTGTGCACCTTTTTTAATGTCTGCATCTTTATCCAAATGTGTCACACACAAGGTTTCAGTGCACATATAAGACCATGTTGTTAGAGTTTCTTCTTATGCAAAATGCCATAGCATAGTCCATCTGAAGTAGAAAACTTTTGTGATCTCTTGTAATAGCATTTCATGGCCATTTAATATATAACCTAATCAGTGTTACAACTCTAAAAAGATATATTTTTTATTTGTATCCATTTATAGCAATTTCTTTTTCAAAGTATTTTGTCAACCATGCATGTGTGTTGATAATCCTAATCTAGACAGCATATGCTAGGTGTTTCATGTGTGAAATAAAAGTGAAGAAAATAAAGATGTCCCAATGAGTTGGTAGGAAAGATTTGAGCAAGTTGAACTCTTCCTTTGATCAAATGACTTACTGCAAAGAATTCTTTAATGAAAACCAATACACATCCTTTTATGTTAATAGTATGAATCAAAGAAGAGAATTTCGGCAGAAGAGGCCATGAAACATGCATACTTCAGGAGTCTTGGAACAAGGATACACACTTTGCCTGAAAGTAAGAAGAGTAGTAAAGTAGCAGAATATTGTTGAGATAATACATGAAAGCTGACTGTATTACTGTACTGGATCTTGGTGGGATGGAGTTAGTTTTTGTTATAGCAGCTTGTATGGTGTTATGTTTTATGTATTTGTCACAAAAACATTGCTGATAACACACCAGTGTTTTATTTACACAGCATTGAGGCCTTTTCTGTTTCTCAGTTTCTCCAAGATTGGGGATGGGAGGATGTGTAAAAAGTGAAAGTGAGGGGATATGTGAGACAGATTACCTCAGTTAAGTAAAGAGATATTCCATGCCACAGAACGTCCTGCTCAGCAATAAATAGGAGAAAGGGCAGGGGAGTTGTTGGGGAAATTAACCATCTCTTGCATAGGAACTGGCCAGGCACTGTTCTGCACATGAGAGTTGACAAGTGATTGCCTTTGCATTGCTTGTTTTGTTCTCTTTTCTTTCTCTCTTCTTCAGCTTCTCCTTCCCTTATTATACAGTTCTAACCTCAGTCCACAAGTTTTCTTGCTTCTAATTTTTCCTCATTCCCAGAGTGAGCAAGCAGCTCTATGAACCCTAGCTATCTATCAGAATTAACTCACAAGAACTCAATGAAAAACTCATTATCTGTTACAGATGACCAGCGTATATTGACTTAAATGTGCAAATAGAAAAGGGATTTTTTACACAGAAACTGCTAAATTAAGAATAGAATTTGCTCAGTTAAAGCATTGCTATGTTTGAATATAAAATAATTTATTTCTTACATTCCAGGTGTTTCAATATTCAGTCTAAAAGAGATTCAGCTACAGAAAGACCCTGGCTTTCGAAATTCCACTTACCCAGAGACAGGTATGGAAAGATGAATATTTTCTCATACTTGCTTGTAAGTAAGTTGCTTGCTAGTTCAATGAATGCAGGTAGGAGAAAATAAATAAATAAATAAAAATTAAAAAAAAATCCTGCAGTGGTTGCAAAAGGCAGAAGGAAAGGCTGTTGTCTTGATATAGAAGGACAGAAGAATAGTGATTGAATGCTGTTGTGCGAATGTTTAAGTTTCTCACCATGGTCCACGTTCTGTTGTAGGACATGGGAAGAACAGAAGGCAGAGCATGCTTTTTTAAAGTGGGCAGTCCAGAGTCAAGCCCAAGCCTATCCTCTCAATCAAGGACTTGGATCTGAAGGCAGTGCTCTCTTTTGGTGGACTTGGAATCGCAGTTTGTCTACACTGTCCTCTTCACAGTGGAGTCTTTTTATTTCCAACCTGCAGATTATGTTTTTATATTTGTTGTCACAGTGTGACAATTTTTTGTACAGTTGGTTTTAAGGTCTCCTCTGCCACTAGAGCCAGTAGGTTACAGCTGTTGATGTAACTGTAGCTGCAATTTTTGTGCAGGACTGAGAAACACAGTGCATTATTTATTGCGGAATCATTGCTGCTAAATAACTACTGTCTGTATAGTTAACACAACAGTTCCATGCCTGAAGAAGTTGCAGTGGCTTTATAATATGTGAATGCATCTGTTTCTCTTCATAAAATGTTCTACTGCTGCGGGGTTTTTTTGTATTTCGTAAACTGCAGTGTTTCCTGGAATGTAAGCATAGCTTTGCTTGGCTATAGGTGAACCATCTTTAATGCTCTGAGTTCATGGCACTTAATTCCTTATTTAACATTGAAAGTATGTGTTGAAATAGTTAAAAAATTATAATGCATATTATGTTTTTGAAAAGCACATGGTGTGAAAGTTGATTCAAACAAGTGAAAAGTAACTGTTATTTGCTCTCAGATCCTATACTAGTTATTGATGAATTAGAGCATGGAGACTGGATGATAAATTTTGTCAGGCTTACTCCAGCATAAGATATTTGCACGTTGTTGTGCATATTGGGCCTGGCAGAAGCAATGACTTGCAGAAGCAATGACTTTTTTTACCTTGTTTTTAACTTAGGAATACAAATAGTAGAAAAAAAAAAAAGAAAAAAAAAAAAGAAAAAAAAAAAAGATTCATACATGTTGGACCCTGACTTACTTTTGAAATTTTGAATCTTTTCATTACAGAGGAACGGGACGACTAATTACAAGAATATGGGAATAATGTGATGTTTTCCCACCTCGTTTCTCTCCCATTTGTGCATTATTCACTTGAAATCAACTGGAAAGATGCAAGTTTGTACTTGATAAGAACTCACTATGCTAGAAAAACCTTTAAAATGGGAACTTAGAGAGTTTTTCAGATCTTAGGTGTTATCTGTTTACCAGAGATAGTAAACATGTTACTACTATGCTTATGCATCTCAGTGAGTATCATAAGTACACCCTTGGTGATGGTTACAGTATTTTTAAGCATTTGTGTTCACCTTTATGAACCTATTTGTTTAGTGCATCTTAAAGAGACTGTAAATCTTTATTGGTATATTTTGAAATGGTCATGTAAATCTTTGGCTGGTATATCATGAAAATAGTCATAGGTAACTTAATTTTTCCTGACATTCACTGTAAAACATTCAGGGGTCCTACCATTTCTGTTCAGGAAATCTTGTAGTTTATTGTTATTTAACAGTATTAAGTGAATTTTTGTATATTTCATTTTAACTTTATTTGTGAATAGTGATCGTGGCATGTTTGGGGGTGTTTTATTAATATTTCATCGATACTGGTAAATTTGAATTGGGATTTTCTTTTTTTATTTTCTGAAAGAGAGGAATTCACGTGTAATGGTGACTATTGGACCACTACTGCTTTTCAGCATTTGTAAACCGGTTTTACGTTAAATCTTGTAGACCTAACAAACTGCTGTTATTTCTAACTGACCGACCTGTATTAATATTGTACTTTTGAAAGTATAAATATTATGTGGAATTCTTTGGTTTTGTTTTGAAATTTATGATAACAAAGGCCCTGTGTTGTTAAAAATACAGACTAAGTGAACTTGCAGTTCCTGGGGCATTGTTGGAAACTTAGCTAGATCCATGTGCTTTGGGAGTCAGCGGTTTAACTTGAGCTGCTTACGAATTCTTGCAACAAAGAAGTAGTGGCAGTGAAGGTGGCATGACTCACCTGCAATCGAGGCTGTTCAGGATCGTACCATAATCATGGTCCATAGTCTAATTACGAGCAGTCAAGTCCTGCATGTCACCTGGGTTCGTAAGTCTTGCCTAGCTCTAGGGAGGTGATACGTGTCTGGGATACATGGATTGGTCTCGCTGATAGCAGTGGGAGCATCGTGTGTGTGTGTGTCAGAGGCAGATTTGGCACCAATGAGAAACCTTTGTCCTGAAATAGTTGTTAATATATTTTTTATAGTTGATACGGATCTGATCTAGATTTTATACTGATTAACTTTGTAGGAGATACGCTGTAGATGTGATGGTGTTGAAGGAAGAAGTATCTGAAAAACAGCTTTTTTTTTCTACAGAAGTAGTGACGATATAGAGTTAATGTTCATTGTGAATAAATGTGGGGTTTAGCATTTCTAGAACACAATAATATTTTCTAGGTCATAAAAGAACAATGATAATGTGATGCTAATGAGTAAAGGACTTAAAGGTTTAACTGGTAAAATGAAGTGCATTAACAAATTTGGAAGGGGATCAGCTGCAGCTAACAGAAGGAGGTGTCCATTTTAAGTAGGCATTCGGGTTTGTTGTTACAGGTGAAAAGGTATTCCATAAAATTAGAGCATTCTGCATACGTAGAGATTTTTCAAAGGACCTACAAGTGAATTGGTTTGCTTCATTGGGAGGTAGCTTTAAAGAATGCAACTTGGCATCTGCGGACAAGCCAGTTTTGTTGGAGTCTTTTTTTTTTTTGGGTCCATAATTCCTGCATCAACAGAGACAATTGAGTGGCAGATGCCCGTTTGGGGCAATAGTGAGTGAGTCTGAAGTCACTGGGCACTTCTCTGACGTTGTTTTGGTGTAATTCAGCATTCTGTCACCTGTCTGACAGCATCAGGCACTGCAGGCTTGGTTTCACTGTCGCTGGGAATGCAGGGAGTCCTGATCATTTGGGGACAACCTCAGCCACGATGAAAACCAGGCAGATGCTCTGTAAAAGTAGTTGACTGTTAAGATCTGGGGTGTCATCCCCTGCCTGAAGATGGGTGATCAGTTAAGGAGAAATGGCCTGCAAGTTGTCGCTGATCTAAAATAATTATCTGTAGAAGATACCCGTTGTATCCCATCTACCCAGAGGTAGAAAGGGTGAGGTGCGTGTGTAGGAAGAAGGTGGCTTTGGAGACCAGAAAGAAGCAGGTGGTAGGAGGTTGTGTGCTCATGGCAGGTGAGGGCTGAAGGGGAGAAAGGGTGGGTGGAGGATGGGGATTTATAGGCTGGGAAAGAGTGAGAAATGGAAGGGAACAACCCAGCTGCACGGCAATGCTCTAGTGAAACATGCATCTCAGCACAGCTGTGTTATTTTTGTGCTGCTTTACCACAGCATTAAGTAGCCAGAGTGTATCCCTGAATTGGGCAATAAAACTTAAAATAAACAATTATTAAAGAATCAGCGTACTTTGTATCTGCAAATCATTTGAAAAGCTGCAAGGTAGCATTCTTGGGGCTGCTTGCTTGTTTGCGCGAGTTTTTCGATTCAATAAAAGCACAATGTTAAGATGGAATTAAGGTTAAGAATGCATTCGGTTATTGAGGACAAAATATATGAAAGGTATGTTGTAAATATCCACAAGCTAAGTATTACAAAACCAAGAAATACCCAGAATGCAAGTCAGACTTGAAAGAAATCCAAACAAATTAGGGTATGGAAATGCAGAGCTGTAGCCTATGGCAACACTGAGAAAAATCACACCTTAGTTGGACAACGTGTCCCGGATGTGTTCATTTTGTCACTGAAAGGCAGAGATTAAATTATTTTTCGTTCCTTGTTCGTGCATTTCAGTACCCTTTTTTCCTTTTTGTGATGTTTAGATCTTTATGAAACAAATGCAGGATCTTTATGAATTTAACTTTGGGCTTCCTTTCTACACTTCCCCCCTCCCCCCCCCCCCCTTCCACAGACTGGACTGGTAGAGATCTACTGCTGCTCTGTGGCCCACAAGGGTCAGCACTTGTATCTCACCAGCAACTAATTTAAAAGCTTGACATGAGAACAAGCACAGGCTGTAAAACAGAATGGAAACACTGCACGGGTGTTTAGCTAATTAGCTCAGGTTTGATTTTGGAAAGTATGATAGACTTAGTAGATACATGGCCTTGCCTGCGCAGTTTAGTTGCGGAGACCAATCTCTTGTTGTAGGTTGCTGTGGAAGTTTTTGTTGGCAGGACTGGGTTTAGAGTTCTGCTATTCCAGATTTTTTTAATCTTCCATGTTTTTCACTAGCCTGTACTGCCTTTCCCTCATTAACCAGGAAGATTGATGTCAGTGGAAAAGCGCGTACATACATTTTTCCATTATTTTCATGTGCTCTCTGAAATGCCGTAACTCATTTAAGTCCTGTGATTTCTGAGCCAACTTAAGATGTGATTACGCACACGTGCACAGACTTACTGATGTAAATAACTGCTCCATTTCTCATCCTGGCTGCATCCTCCAAAATCAGTTAAGAAGCAGTCCTGCCGAAGCAGATTGCTTTTATGATCCTCCTAATGAAACGCAAGTCTTGCTTGGCTCTCAGGCCATACCTTGAAACAAATTATTCCTCCTTCATTGTTACAGTGGGATCTTCTTGCTGACAGAGATGCTGTGGATTGCAAACCTGGGAGGATGCACTTCTCTATCCCCTTTCCAACATGCTCTTGCAGAACACCTCCCTCCAGGCCCCGCACAGCTCCTCTTCACACCTCAAGCTCATTTTTTCAAAGGCTTAATTTTTTTCCCACTTTTCCATGTCCTCTTCCTTAATCTGCAAAAGGTGGAAGCTGGCCTGGAGATAGATTAGGAATAATTAAGGTTGCATTTATCCCTATGCAATTACTGCGGAGTGAACGTGAAATGAACTGATGGGAATCTCTCAGGGGAAGAAATTGCAGTCATACCTCCTAGAGACCTCTCCTGTAAGAAGCTGTTCACAGATACCCTGCTGGGCAGGCCGTGGCACTGCTTGCTCCAGAGTTGTTGCCTCAGGTTCATTCTCTTTTTCTCATTTAAATAAATTTATGTTCCTCCTCACTAATGCTGTCAATCTCTTTGCCCTCAAGAAATAGGCTTGTGCTCCATCTGTGTAGGCTGAGCACTTATGTATTAGCTGGAAAAGAGCAGCTACAATTAAACTAAAAGAGGTGAAAAGGGATTTCAAAAGTTGTAGCATTGTAGAGGTATGCTTACATCTGAGTGACCTGTGTATATCACAAAGGATCTGTAGACAACTTCGAGATCAGAAGGGATCAGTGATGCCTTTACATGCAAAAAAGTCTACTTTACTTACTGTGCCTTTTCTAAATTTATTTGCTGGCCACGATGGCTTCGGAAGATGCTTCCTACAGGCACAAGATCACACAGCCTCTCAGTGCAGAAACTCGGCCTGTTAAATCCCATTGCTTGTTCTAATGGCTGTCTCACCTTTAAACACTCATCTTGTTGATTGTTTCCAGGTTGGCAAGCATCTGCCCCGTGGAGCTACTTTTACTCAGACAAAACAAATTGTTCTATGTTGACGTAACAGGGACATTTCCAATGTTTCTGTAGTTTATCACCCATCACTGCTTTCCCTGCCTTGAAAATACTCCTTGTACCTGGATGCATCCCCCAGTGCCACAGAATTGCAGGCTGAGAGTAGGGCTGGTGCTGTGTGTAGTTTCATTTCATGTTGAGCTTTTTTGAAAGAACAATTCTGCCTCATTAACAGTAAAACCTTGGAAGAAACAAAGCAATGAGAACCTGGATGCTTCGTCTTTCAAGAGTCTCTTCTGTTACCTACTTTCTCCTCTCATTTTTAATCATCTGTCTCTTTTCCTCAGTGTGGTATTCAGTATCTTTATTGATTGAAAGACTAAATTTTCATGAATAACTGAGCAGTGAGAAGAGCTTCATCTTTATGCCTTGCTCACCCATTAACAACTGTACTGGTATATGTCAAGTGAGAGTACTGAAGTGGGCTTTTCTGCTTTCCTAAAATTGAGAGAAGAGAGTTGGCTCTGGAGTGTGAACAGCTGCTTCCGTGTAACTTTCAGTTACTGCACTTAGCTGCTGTTGAAAAGGGAATGTCTCATCTGCAAATCCTTGTGATGTAATCTGTGCTAGACCAGCCAACTCCATTAGTTATATGCTGCCTTTTCTTCCAATCTGTTCTGGTTTTAGTTAGTATAAAATTACCCTTCACACATACATGCTGCATCTTCTGGTTTGGGATGGTTCCTCTCGGAGCTCTTACAACACTGAATCAAACAAATGACAGCGCTGTTGTTTTGTTCTTTTTCCTTACATCTTGCATCTAATTGCACTGGTTATCAGCACTGGTGTTGCATGTAGATGCAGAGGTTTTTGATTCAGGTAATTATTCCGAGTGAAACTGAGGAGCCCCAGGAAAATTCCTGTTTACTCTTGCCAGAATTCCTCTGCCCCAAAAATGGCTTTTCAACATCAGAGATGCAGTAATAAAATGTTTATTTAGCACCTTTCAGTTTGAAGGATCCAAAAGCACTTTACAATTAGCTACACACATCATCAATGAAATGCATCCAAGCAGAGAATCAGCAGACAACTCACTGCATAGGTTTCAAAACACACAGACTTGCGACCAGCTGCTTGGCCAGGAAATAAGGCAGAGGCTCTACTGACCTGGAGCAAACGTGATTCTCATTTTGGTTTGGTTTCGGGAGGTCTCATCTGAAAGACCTAGTAGCAAAACAGCATTCAACCCAATTTAGCCGCCTCAGAAAACGGGATGATTTGCACGAGCCCTGCCAAGATTAGTATCTGCGGTGCCAGGAAGTCTGGCCTCATCCTAACCTGGCATTTAGATGACTCAGCCATCACCTCAAGGCAGAGGACATACCTACTAAGTTCAAATTGCAAGTATATGGTAACACAGTGCTGCTCTTTTTCATCCAGAATTGAGATGTTTCTACATAAACATGCCAGATGTGCACAGTACAGTATGCCTCTTGACAAGCAGCAGACATTTGCAGTCCTCTAACTTCTCCAGCTGCGGGGGAAGGGGAAATGTGACCCTTGAGCCATTAGCAAGAAGGATCCTTCCAGGGAAGTGGTAGAAGGCACTTGGCACGTCGAAACAAAGCACCGGGGAACTGGTGGGAGTGATCCTCACTGTGGGAGGACAGGCTACCTGCAGGCTTTCCAGCTGCAGCGCTGATGCTTCGTAAGACATATGGGCCAGACAAATTCTGAGCCATGTCTCCTTTCCGACAGAAGGACTTTCAAATGCTGGCAATGTCTCACGAGTACACGCGGCTTGGTTCTTCCCTGCTGCAATTCCACAGACGAATTCATGTGTAAATGTGGCTTTGTTACTCCCGAACACATCTCCTGACTGTAACGTGTATTACATTTTTCACTTCAGCAAAGAAAAAGTATAAGGCTATTTTTATACAACTTGAAAGCACTTAATACAAAGTTACATGAATACGCTGCATCGTATGGCCTATCCGTGGAGAAAATACTGACATCCTACCGTAGGGCTGCTCAATACTAGTTTTGTCTTTCAACTTTTCATCTTAATACTAGAAAATATATAAATCATTTACATGACATTATGCAAAAGAAGGCACAGCCGGTTATAGTTTACACAAGCACAATGCGTAATAGGCAGAAAAAGGTATTAAAAAGAAGCTTCACATCCTTATTAGATACATTGTTGCAATCCATTACGGAAAAGTACTTCATCAACAACAGAAGTGTTCAACACTTGAGAGCTATGATATAAAAAAATTATAATTCATTTAATGCAAAACAGATTTATATATACTTTTATATATAAACACTGTTTAAAAACACTAACGTAATAAAAGTAGACTATCCATGTAATGAAAAGTGCAAACCAAAGTAACAGAGGGTTTCACGATGTCCTTCTCATGACACAGGAATAAACTAGCCCATAGGAATGAAGTGTTAAATCCACCAAACGTCCTTAACGCATGAGGCACCATCAGGATTTCTGGGCGTTCGGTGAAAGCAGTACTGGAGAAGAGGCTCCGTCCAGACTGGGGAGCGGCACTGGGATGTGACCATTTAGCAGAGTTGGAAACTGCAAGAGGCCAAAAAGGGAAAAATTACTCTCTTATCTCGCAGTGCTCAGCCTCAAAGCACGCTAGCAGTCGACCCCAGATGTTTTCGAGAGCGCTGATTGCTGTGCAGTAGGATGGATACCACATGCCTGCGTCAGACACCAGGAATGCGAAGCAAGAGATGAAACCTGAATCACTTCTAAACATACGGGGATGGGTAAGCCTATTTGTGGCTGTATTTTATATAAAAGCTGACACACGGCGGCTGTAATCACACTGGAAAAGTGAATAACGTGGAGAAATGGGTGCCCTCTGTTTCGTTTCCAAAAATCTTCTTCAGCCTACAGAACATTAAACTACAACCCACGCTTTTCATCTGATTAAAGCCGCGCAGGAAAGATCCTAGCAAAAGTGAAAGTCAGGGCGCAGTTTTAGGATCGAAAAAGCACAACTGTGAGCACAGAACACTGGGAAAAGGGCGCTCGAGCACTTACAGTTCATCTAAGAAACAGCCCAGCCGCTATGTCAGATCATTTAGTCCTTGAAGCAGAATCTTCTGCGGCAGTTTGTCCTAACAAACACTTTCTGAACTGCTGTGCAAGCAGTACTTACTCACCCCCTGCCCCCGTGCCCCGGCCCATACCTACGCCCTGCCTGCAGCCCGCTGCCACGCGGGCGCTGACGCCTTCCTAACACGCCCAGGCCAGCAGCAGGGTGGGGCTGCGGCACCAGGCCCCCATTGCACAACATCGGCCCTGCTGTAATTAACTGTGCAACAGTGTGTCTTCAAAGGCAAGACCTTCCAGGTAGGCCCGCGTATCGAGGCGATCTGTGCGGAAGAAGGCTGTGAGGGTGGGTGCATGGACGCCAGCATGTGGGAGCCATTTTCACCTTGTAAGCATGGAAGGAGAGCTTTCACCAGGTAATGAGCGTCCATACAGCCAGGGCCAGCCGTGCCACGAGCTCACCAAAGCAGGGACTACACTACCCCATAGGCTCATCCTGTTGATGAATTCTATCCCGGTCCTATAAAAACGCTAACACTGTAGAGCCAGAGCCAGGGCTGAGCACGGCATTGCTGAGAAAGCAGCACACGCCTGAAAGATGATGTACAGAGCTGCTCCCACCTCCCTGTGAGTCAGCAGGCAAGGGGGTGAGGCAGGCAGCCGCAGAGGCAGAGCGGTGCTGGCCTCTGGCTGCTGGCAGCGTTTTGGCTCCTTTATCAGCAAGTAAACGTTCATTTCAACTCAGTGAAAACCAAACAGCCCTGGGGCTCCGTGCTTTGCATCTGAAAGTGGAAGGACTGCCACCAAACCCAACGCAGTCACCCCCTGAGGGTTCAGAGCAGCCTCCGATGCCGGTGCTGGCCAGCCGCAGCACTCAGAGCCCTCATTCCCAGACTTTCCCTGTGTTCTTCAGCTGCTTGGCTAACCCTGGGCTTCTTGTGCTTGCTGCCAATTAGCTGCTCAGCCTCGTTCCTCTTGTGACTCACTCAATCAACTGCAGCTGGAGCTGCCCAGGCCATACCCGCCATCCCTTCCTCAGCCTCAGAGCACTGCATCTGAGCTCAGAGCCACGGCTGTTTGGTTCATGCCTTTGGTATTTATGACATCTCTGTAAAACTGAGATTTTCACAATCCCAGTATCCATAAAAGAGGACAGCGCTGCTTTTCTCCTGGTAAATACAGAGACGTGGTGCTCAGGGGTGTAAGCGACCTGTCTGCAGCCACCCGGGCAATTTGCAGATCTGGAAACATGACCTTCAGAGTGCCCTTAAGTTAAATACAACTGTATCCAGTCTCCTGGGTGAGAAGTATCTCAGAAGGATGAGCTGGGTCTCACACAGCGAGGTGGTGTGGAACTGCTCTTGGTTCTCCCATGCTCTCCTGCTCTGCACTCTCTCCTCAGAGCTCTGAGGGCTCTCTTCTTCCTACCACTGCACAACACTTATTCTGTTTCCTTCATGCAATGTGTATGTTTCTACCTCAGAGCAGACTGCCCAGGAGAGTCCAGCTGTGCTGCCAATGCTCTAAAGATGGTGCAGGCAAACACTTCTCTTAAAAATGCTCATCAACTCCCGTGTTTCCTCAGACCATTTGAAAAGCTCCAGACCAACATGAGATGACGCAGCTTCCACATGCACTTCCAGAAGTGAAACCTGTGTGTTAGACAGACCTACCTGGAACAGAGTGTTGGGTCCCTGCAGCCTGGCAGGACTCAGAGGAGCAACGGGGCTGAGGCTGCTCCAGAAATGGATGCTGGACAGCAGCGGGCTCGGGGTCAGCAATAATCCACTTGGGGTCTGCAAGGCAGAAAATGTCAATATTCTGTCATATGCGGAGTGGTTTTACCTCTGCTGAGTTATATACATCATAAGGAAAGAATACGGAAATACTAAAGAAAACCTGGAGGTGTTCATTCATACCTAGGTACAGCCACAGCGAGAGATTTGAGGCTGAGCTGTGCTCCGTTCAGATCTGCAGGTGTAAATGTGCTCAATGCCAATGCTCGCACCCTGATGGCCGGCACTTGTACCTGTGAGCTGTGCCACAGCCAAGTGCCAGCCAGAGCAAGCCTCTGAACCTCTTCACATTTACTTCATGCAAATAGAGCAGTATCACCATCAGACAAGCATCAGAACCACTCAAGGAAACCCAAGCACAAACAGCACAGGCTGGCCTCACGTTACATGTGGAAATTCATGTATCCTCACCTTCTGCCCTCACGCCACTATACAGCTGGTGCTGGATATGAAAAACCTTCCTTATGATCTAAGCACAGCAAATCTGAACTGGGGCACTCACTGCAATGATGCTCAATGAAGGGACAGCACCTGAGCCCACTTCCAGCCTATGTAACAGCTGTCATGCCAAGGTTTTACAGTTAGATTAACACAGCTGCTGTACTGTTTTTATTTAATTCTTTACGTTGCAGGATGCTTCTTATCCACACTGGAAACAGACAATTAAAGCCACACTGCTGCATAACCAAACATTAAAATGAAAAGACCCAGGGCTACCCTATGAGGGTGCCATCTGCCTCTTCTGAGATGGGACAACCTGCCAAAAAAGTTGTGTAATGGCAATCAGTTGGATGATGGCCATCAGTGCCACAGCGAGGCATCCTACTGAAAGGGGTCACACATGTACAGTCATACATGTCCAGCCTGCCAGGTTTATGTTTTGTTGCCCTCTTTTTTACATTATTTTAATGAAAAAAAATAAAAATGAGGTTTTGTTACTTTTATACATTAAGTGCATTTGTGTATTTTTTACTTGGCCCAAGATGATTCCTCTTCACTCAGCGTGTCCCAGGAAAGCCAAAAGGTTGGACACCTATAATTCCCTTCTATGACTTTCAGGGCAGGAAGGACTCTGATTCAGAGATGAATGAGAAAATGAAGTGTTCAAAGAAATGACTGCAAAATGAGGAGAGAAATCGCTCTTTATCCTGAGTTCTGTGGCAGCAGTAGATTAAAGCATGCCTGTAATAACTCACGCTGTCATTCTGTCTAGCTGGCATCTGATAGGATTTGTCAAATTTGCTGCCTACAAGCAAAACACTTACTGTGGTTATAGCACAGATAGAGGCTGTATGGACCTGCCAATGCACCTCATCTTTGGTTTGCCACACTCCCATTCTTCCTGCCATTCATCACATCACTTGGAGGCTTTACGATGCACAAAATGACTGATAGCAGCCCACAGATTCCTCTTTCTTTGTGGCACAGCCCTGTATCTTGGTGGCCTGCAGGTGTGCCCGAGTTGCAGTGGCTTTGCACAAACCTCAGCATCCTGCTGAAAGGCACAGGGAGAGCAAGCACCGTGCTGGCTAAGCACATGTGCTACTCCCCTGTCCCCATGAGGGCTCCAAGCTGAGCAGGCACAGCACATGCCCTGGGCATCCCAGCTGTGCCATGCCTCCATGGGAAGGCCTGCAGGTCTCTCTGGGCACAGTTTGATCCCTGACAGACAACTGTTGAACTGTCTCATTCAATGCCAGCGTTTGCACCAACTTTCTTTAATATTTTTTTTCCCCACCAGGATTTTTTTGATGCAGTGGCAGCACAGAACAAAACTCACACATTAGATCACTTTCTGTTATGTGATTTTTTCTCTTAACATCTGAATAAACAGATTTTTTTTCCACAGACTTGTTTAAAATCAGAACTGTACATTGACAATACCACAGATATGTGATTAACTGGCAGTTATTTTATAGAGAACAGAGGAACCTACCAGTTATTCAGGTCTGTACTGAAAGGGAGCTCCGCCAAGTACTTTCTGGACCTGCAAAACTTTGCAAATCAAAGCTGGCTTAAAAGCCTGTCGTAGACATCAATCAGAATCACAAAATTGTTTGAGTTGGAAGGGATCCTTTAAGGGCCATCTGGTCCTACTCTCCTGCAGTGAGCAGGGACACCTACAGGTGATCAGGGTCCTTAGTGCCCCTCCAGCCTGACCTCAAGGATGGGACATCCACCAGATTTTTTACTTACTCCCTATTTGAAACCTAACATCACAATTTGAAGGGCTTCAACACGTAGCACAGAGCTCTGACTAAGCATCTCACAGTACCTATGCTCAGTTTCCAATCTACAAGAACCCTATCCTCCCTTTCTTTCATTCTCCCCACAATCACATGGAAACCACAGGAGTGCAGTGCCACAAGGAACCCTCTCTCCTCACATCATTTGTCCACTGGCTGACAACATGCCCCGAGCACTAAAACCTCTGGCCAAACTGAGAGAGAGCTGGCTATGGAAAGAGCAGGCGAGGCTGGCCAGCTGTACCTGTGCAGTGAAGAAAGCTGGAGTCAGAGATCCCGAAGGAAGAGCAGGGCTGTTGAGGGCAATGGAACCGATATCGGTGCTGGAAAGAACCATAGGTGGGGCTGAGATTTCCAAGCCTTTGGGTTTCTTAGCCTTTGGGGGAAGAGATGGCGACTTCGCCTTGGAGCCCGAGGAGAGGTTCAGCGGCTCGAGGGAATCTGAGTCATGGCAACTGGACTCAAAGAAGAGGCTCCTGTGCTCTGAAGGGAGGGGTGAGGTGGGAGACAGCGACGGCGACCTGGAGGAGGAGGATGATGGAGATGAGATGCTGGCACTGTTGGGTAGCATTAAGGAAGAGATTTTGGCTGATACGGGTGAGCTGAGAAAAGCAGAGGCAGCTGCTGTTTCAGAGGTGGAAGGCAACGACACCATGGGCCTCATGACTTGTTTGTCTGTTTTGTTTGTCACAAATCTTATAACAGTCCGCACTTCCTCGACCGGCGTGCTTCCTTCCGACTTCTCCTCCAGTTTTTCTGTTTTGATTGGCTTGTAAGCGTCTGGCTGGTTCTGCAGAGAGTTGATGGTGAAGGAGGAGTACAGGCCGGAGTGGATGTACTCGTTGCGGCTTGTGCTCTTCAGTGCCGACAAGCTGTGCTTGTGCACGTCCCTGCTCTCGGCGGCCATCTTACAGTCGCTGTCCTGCAGCAAAAGGCTCTCTCTGCTGATTTCCACGGCGTGTGGATCCATCTTTAAAATGTCAGGGAAGGACACAAACTTGTACACAAATTTTTGTCCAATCACCTTCTTGATGATGTTCTGCAAATACAAAAGCAGACGCTAGGAAGATCAGTATCGCGGAGGCACTGAGTACAGCAAACACAAAGGGCAGAGGAGCACTGAGGCTTCCTCCAGCCGCTCAGGGCCTTCAGAGAAACAAAGGGCACTATTTCCTGAGATTTCAAGTGATCTCACTTTTCCTGGAGCCCCTGGTAGAGAGTTTGTCTGGAAGTCTCCTCTTAAAAACCCTCCCCAAGCAGTGACCCTATTGTGGGGCACACACCTGCTGCCCCTCCTGCTTGCACTCTACAGACCTGCCTTGCTGTACACAGAGGAATGTGAACATTTACATTATTCCTAAAAATGCTGTTTGTTTTTCATTCAGGCACAGACTCTCAGAAAAGCAGAGAAAACACACATTCATTTAAAAAAAAAAAAAAGGAACGTAAGCATCCTCCCTATTTGTATGTAGACAGGACTCAATTCTGAGTGCTCGCAGAGCCTGAACAACATCTTTTTTCTGCCACAAAAGCAGGGTTGATCTGGGGAGAGAGGAGCATCCACTTCTGTATTGGGTCATAGAATCACTAAGGTTGGAAAAGACCTCCAAGACCATCCAGTCCAACTGTCCACCTACCACCAATATTTCCCCACTAATCACGTCCCTCAGTACCACATCTAAATGTTCCTTGGCTGGCACTTCATTCAGACACCTTCTTGACTACAAAATGAATCTTAGGAAGAGATTTGCTCCACAGGTCAGAGTTGCAGCACAGAGAAAGTTTATTCTCAAGTTTGCAGCACGGATGCACGGTGCAGGAGGAGAACCAACCTTGGCAAACTCAGGCTGGAAGCACAGAGCTGCTCTCTCCCAAGCTGAGCTGAACGCATGTTCTGCCCACCTGGCTGATCCCTCAGTGCCTATTTTTGCAGCCCTAAAGTTCAGGACATATATTTAGCCCATGGAATATGTCTGCATGAGCTTTAATTCTCATGGCTTTGGCCTTGGCCTAGATTTTTCTGTTAATTAGGTGAAACTTCAGATGAATGCACTTTTTCTATACTGTTTCATTTATGTACTATATTTTCCATCATAAACACAGAACCTTCTAACTATTCACATATGAAAAGAAACACCCCAACTGGATTTTGGTTTGTCTCTTTCTTTTAATATATATATTTTAATTTAAAATAATCTCTCCTCTTAAGAGTTATTGTTCCATCAAGCACCAGAGCAACTTGTAGATGGACGCAGGCTTAAAACAGGGAACCACTGCTATAAAAGGCAGCCAAACGAGTTGAAGAGTTTATATATCCTCCATCATTATTAAACATATTTTCAGAAGGTCTCTCAGTGCAGATCCTCTGTCTCCATATGCCTGCAGCAAGCCTACTTAATGATAGCTGCAGATGAAAAGGATTCAAGTGCAGACCCCTCAAGCACTTTGCAGGCTTCTCTCAAATGAAGAGCCCCAGGAAATCTCTATCAGCATTTAAGAGAAAATAAGGACACAAATTAATTAACTGCCTCTCAAATGATGCTGTCACTTCAAGCATTTTTTGATGAACGATTGATGTGAAGGTTAAGAAGCAGCTTATTTTTACATCACTTTGGTGATCTGTCAGAATTATTCTGAGCTGCAGAAGATGGCTTCAACCAGGGAGGACAGCGACAGGCACTAAGACAAGTAGGGCTCAATTTCAAAGAGCAAAGGAGATTTCCTGATGCTGACTGCTTCTGCAGGCAAACTAGGCTTCTCAGTGGCAGGCTAGTGGGTGTACGTGCTCCTCCAGCCCCTTTGTGCTATTGGTGAGATTTTCAAGGTATACCACCTGGCATCACGCTGCTCTTTGAAGGCTGGGTGCTGCTGCCTGGTGGCTACACTGCCCCACCTGTGTGTAGGGGAGCTAAGGCATATTTGCACCACAGCGTTTCAGGCACTCTGCCCACAGTATTCCAAAGACCAGTTCAAAGCAGGTGGGCCCCACGTGCTCCAACCTGGAGGGATAGGGATTGTCCTCCACAGACCAGATGAGCTGGGTGCCAAAGGCTTGGTGTCCTGGCTCTTCCTGCACCTGAAACCAAGCTGTAAGGCAGTTGAAGTTTTCACGTTGGCTTATGTCCCTCACTGAGTCATTTAGAGCTAAGGTGTAACTATCTATCAACATGACATCAGGATTTTAGCAGCTTGGCTCAAACCTGTTAGCTCACAAGTATGCAGGAGCCACTTGGAGCGTGAGCTGGAAATGAGACCTGCTTCCCAGCAGAATTTCAGACTAAGGAGGCCAAGGGACAAGAAGACAAACTGGGACATTTTTCCTCCTCCCAGGAAAAGGCCTAAGATCCCAAACCTGTGGCAGAATGGGATGAACTTGCCCCTAGGCACTGAAAGGACCCTGCTTGGGAAAGAAGGGCCAAGATCTGGTAGCTGTTGCACTTAGCTCCCACCTTAATGTGTGGCAAGTTCCCGAGCTCTGAGAGTACCCAGAGATGCAACATCCACAGCAACACTTCAGCTATGAGTTCTCCACCCTGTCTTCCACTTTAATAGGATTCTACCAGAACCTGCAGGTGAAATAATTGCCTCCTCTTTCCAAATGTTAAAATTACTGTGACCTTTACAAAAACAAGGCAGGAGGAAATATTCACACTCCCATGTCTGAAGAATGTAAGCTGGCAGAAGGCAGCTGTGGCTGAAACATTCCAAAACACAGGGCAACAACATGTGCAGGCAGGCAGACTGTTAACATCACGCTTCATGCCTTTATGCTTATTATACTGCACGTGTACATGCCAAATTCTGTAAAGTTTTTGACAGAGGCACAGGTATTACTAAATCATGCACCTGTTCTGACCTTTGGTAGAGCAAGACTCCCAGCAGCTGGACATCTGCCCTTCCTCACACACCTCCACCAGGAACACACAGACCACTCTCCTGCCAGGCGGCTTTGGCCAGGCTCCCTACTCTCTCTGCTGCTGTTCACCGGGCTTTCCTTTCCCTCAAATCAAAAATTAATTATTTGCCACTGTTTTTTGTGGGTTTCCTGGGTTTTCTCCTCTACCCATTATCTCAGTGCCATATTCTTTACTCTCATCTTTCAGTAAGGACAGCATCAACTAACTTCTTTTATGCTATTTTAGATAAAGTATTACTTCACTTCCACCCTCAAAGAGGTGGCTCTTTTCAATTCTCCAAAAAGCTGTTTCCTAATGTTCCTTCAAATACTTCCTTAAGACCCCTCTCATGTGTACCACTACAAAACACAGAGCTGGTAATCTAGTGCCATCATACTACTATAGTTTCACTGCCGTCTTCCATCTTTCCATGAATAAAACTGAAGAGTTCAACAAAAGTAGAATAATAATTTCTGCTCTCACTTTATATCCTGAAATCTTGGAAGCAGACCAAGCAATGGACCTTTTCCCAAGAGAATTGTTCCACACTGCCACACATACTTGGACATTAAATACCAGAACCGGTAACCAGGCTATAGGGTCTGACGTGTTCTTACAGGCAGGGAGGGAGGGCTGAGGGCACCTCAGAAGTTTCTGAGTACCTGAGAAGCACTGTCCCCTCTGCTGCATCAAGCACAAACAAGAACCCATGTTATTTATGTACTACACATTGTGCTGCCATCTATATCTAAATAAGAGGGCAGCCATTCACTGAAGTTAAAATGATTTATTCTGTCTTTAGAAGACAGACTGAATAGCAGTTGCTGAGTAAAGCCTGAGGGCACATGCTCTTCAGAGAAGACTCAAAAATATTGAATAGTTGTTTGTTGCAATGGTATACAATCGTGTAATTAAAGCAGCATAACTCATGCAAACATTATGCAGGGAGCTATGACTTCTGCATTGCCTAACTTCTAAAGATGTGACTTCCACAACTCTAACGTCCTACTGATGTGGATATCTGCAGTTCCCTGGATTTGTCCCTTAAAACCTTCTGTCATGTGGTGTCATCTTGAAATATTCACTGGGAACTTCTATATAGAATTTCAAAAAGTATCCATCATTTCAGTTATCAGCAAAAAAGAAAGCAACTGGGCAATTTCAACAACAAGAAAAGTACTAATCCTTCTTAAATTGGGATTTTGTTTCTACACACCAAGAAAAAGTACTGTATTTGGAAACTGAAGTGAAGGGTTTCCTTGCCTGAAAGCATTACAAGAGCATTTTGATTGGCAGCATATAAGATGGACAAGATGCTCAGGCTGTAAGTTGTGTGGGATTCCTTCCCTTAGTGCTATTTGTCATCCGTGTATTGCTCTGTTAAGGCAACATAGGAAATACATTAAACACAAAGAGTGAAGGAAAATTTGGGTAACAAATGAAGCAGGAAATGGAAAGTCTTCAGATTATCTACAAACCTTTACCAACCAGAATCACAGTAGCAAATTACAACGGAGACATGCCACACCATACATTTCCTGGGGTGCTTTATATGTGAATTTAACATAAACCCAGACATCAGCCTCAACAGCATATCATCTGCTTCAAAGCCAAGCTAAGGAACTTGCCCTAATTGTGTTATTTTTCTCCAGCACTGGAATTAATTTACTTTTAACTTCAGATGAATCAGATGATGAATTTTAACAAGCCAGCGTTCCCCCCAAGCACAATGGCAGAGCTTATAAACCTCCACTTATCCAGTGATCAGCTTTTATTTCTCCACAGTGAATAATTTCAAAGACAAACTCACTTGGTGTCAGCTGCAGAGTGCGGCCCAAGAAAGGGAGGCCCAGCCCATGGGCCACCATCACCTCTCAAAGATCAGTGCACTTGTCTCAAACTCACACACTGCCACATCATTGGAGTTAAAAGGTGGAGAAGACCGTGTACATACACAAGGCCATAATATATGGGGAAAGAAGAGCTTATCCTTCTATCCACCAAGGAGCTATGAACTCCACTGGGCTGCAGAACTGAAAAAAATGGCCCAAATCCCTGTGCCATACCTAGATAAAATTAGCAGATGGAGGAGAGCACATAGGTCAAGAAAGCAGCAGTAAGAACAGTGAGCAACAACCATACCAGAAGACTGTACAGCCACTTCTCTGGCAGATGGTGAGTAGTGGAGACAATAGAGATGACAAAGGTGTGTGTGTGATGGGGGTGGCAGTGGGCAAGCAATCAGAAACAGAATAAGAAGAAAGGGAGGCTCAAGTATAGAGCCATTACATTCCTTTGATATGAAAAGATTAGAGAGATCTTAGAGGACAAGTGCTACAAATATTTTGTCCCCTATTTTCAAGCAGTGCCTGCTCAGTCAATAATGGTGTATTTGTACTTTGTCTGCATGTGCTGCTCATCCACCAGCAGGCTCTCTGTCCCCACTGATCCCAGTTAAGTTTATAATTGGAGAGGCTGGAGTCAAATAATGAAGCGAATTTCCCCATGCTGAGCAGAAGCCTTTTTAGCACTTTGTGAAGGGGAATTCATCATACCAGCTGCTTGGAACAGCCTCTGCGGTGTCCTCTGAATCCCTTTGTGCCTTCTAAGCCAGGCCACCTTTGAAAGATGTTAAGTGGAAAAATCCGACTTCTGGCAGACAGAATACTAAAAACATTTTACTGTAACACTGAGAGCTCTAAATCTGCATCTAAAAATTGCTACATTTTCATACAGTCTTTCAAATTCCAATGTGCAGAACAAAAAGGCTGGTCAGAAAACCGCACAAAGTTAATTTGCAATCAACATGGGTTTTGGTTGCTGTGTTGGACTGGCTGCACAGTGCAGTCACACTGTGCCTCCAAGATTTAGTGCACTACAAATAATGCATGACAACAGTATCCGGATTTCAGTTCTGCAGTATCAAGTTCCCCTACCATGAGCAGGTAGCACATGTGCCATAACTGTGTTAAGCATCAGTGTTACTCACCATATAATCTCACCTCACCGTCCTTTCTCTAAAGCAAGATGAGAACAGACCACTAAGGCTGGCTGTGAAGTATTCCTCTCTAGTACACAAAATCTAATGTTTCTTCTTTGCAAGAAACAGTAAAAACAAAACATTCAGATGTATTACTAAAAATATCCATTTAAGGGGAAACAATTCCAAAATTATTTAACGTTAATAGAAACAATATAGTGTCATCCAAAAAAGGTTGGAAACAATTTGTAAACTCCTTGAATTTGGTAGAATCTGAAATTGCAGAAAGTCAATATGCTAGTTATTTTAGCAGCTCAAAACTTGTGCTCTGTAATTCTCTCTTTTTAGTACCATCACATCTCAGACTGCCTTCAAACATCTTTCTGTCGCAGCAGTCTAACACAAATTCTGCTTACTCCCTGTTCTCATCTTTGCATTCTGTTGCCACTGTGCTGCTGTCAAAGAGTAAGACCAAGGACTAAATGTCCAAGTGAAGGATGGTTTCATGAGAGTGAGAGTCATCTTACCAACTCCCACTATACTGCACAGGTTTGATTTTCAGAGGTGCCAGCCAACAGTACCCTCTACTGATTGCTTCTAGATTACAAGCATGGTCACGATCCCTGAAAATCAGAAGCAAGCTGGTTGATCTAAATACTTCCAGATTAGTATGGTCAAGTTTTTCTTTCAGATTTCAGTTTTTTAAAAAGAGGTTGAAAATGGACCTCTAACAGCCAATGCGAAGTGCGTGCCTACACTACCCATCTGTCACCAGCTTCTGAGAGGGGCAAATAAACACAGCTTGCCAGTTACAAGGTTGCTGCCAGAACAATGCTGACTCCTTAGGGTCCGATTAGTTCTATCAAACCTCAACAGATGTATTCCTGAGCCTTTTTGTCAGCATGAAGGAGGGGCAAATTCAACAGGTTTTGCAAGGGCAAATAAATGAGACAATAAAGCATACACTCCGTTATTTTGAGTTCAGATACCCTGAAGATAAATTCACAAGTCAGAGTAAATTTAACATCCTACTGTGAGCATAGTCTTCAACTGTAATGAGCTCAGCATGAAACTGCTACCTGACACATATACCCAAATGCTGCCCTGCTCTGACACCCACCATCTGATCGGTTGCTTGTCTGTTTGCTACTCTTATTCTGCACTTTCATCCACTTAAACACCACATTGCTGCTCATTCAGATATATTAATGCTAATTAAATAACAACAACATATAAGATAGACTACTGCTGAAACTAATGTGGATTGTGTCCTAAAATAATATAGTAGAAAAATTCCCAACCCTTGGAAATGCTTAGCATTAACAACTGATGAGCTACAGAGAGATTCTTGCAAGGTAATGCTGCTCTGTCAAAATATTTCTAGATGTTTTTCAATGCTGTATTCCCAGATAAACATTATTATGATCCAACACAATTATAAAAAAGAAAATCTATTACAAAGCTCAAGCAATTCTAGTTAAAACACAGGCCAATAGCATCCAGGTTCCTAAAGTTGTGTCCCATGAAAACTTTGAAAACTCATGCCCACCCTTTATGTCCAACCCAACAACCTATGTTGGGTTGCCTGTGTGTTCTTTCCTTGCTCTAGCATAGGGGGTACCTGCTAGCATAGCTGCCAGTACCTGCTGCACTGGAGCATCACTGCTTTCTACCATCTCCCTGCATTCTGAAGATCCTGTGCAGGCTGCAATAATCAAACAGTTCTCCGTTATCAATAGTTTTTTTATTACTGTCAAAAGCTACAGAAAATATCAGGTAGCCAAACACAGAAGCATACGAAAGCATCAGTAAGTGTAAGCCTAAATCAAAACCTCGCCCTACCCCTACCCCAGGAAATGGGCATGCAGTGTTTTCTTGTCCATCTTGGCTGCCCTCTTACCTCCACCACACTTGCCTTTGGAAGTACTGTCTGTTGTAAAAACTAATTGGGAGAACTTTAAAAAGCATCCATAACAGAGTTGAAATGTTAAACGATAGTGTTTCTACTTTCTTAGTCTGCATGAGAATAACAAAATTTACCTTGTCATAATAGTATCTGAGCGCTCGGCTCAGCTTGTCATAGTTCATATTAGTTTTGTTTTTTCTGAGTCCCCACAGCTTAGCCACTTCTTCTGCCTTGAGTAGCTTGAATTCGCCATCATTAGACGTCCAGCAAATCAGGTGCTCATGTTTCTGGTCTAGCAGCAACTGCAAAAGGAACTGCCACAGTGTGATTGCACTCTCCATACCTACAAGGGACAAAGGAGAGCAACGGTGTGAAAAACATTTGGGAGCAGGTGTTTCAGCCAACACTCAGTTCAGTAGTAAGCTCTGTGTAAGAATCATCTGACATAATTTAGCAAAGGAAACCACACTGTTCACAACCAAACTTCCATAAGACCAGCAAGTCTTAAACTCCCGTTTCAGTATTTTTTTGCACTGCTATGATGAGACACATAAAAATACAGCAAGTATTTAGCAAAGCATTGCCCACTTAGTTTAGATGGTACAGGGTCATCTTCAGTCAATATCTACACCACAGTGCATGCAGCTACCTTTGAAAGGAATGTACAACAAACAAACAAACAACAGATTTTATATAACCTGTGCTGGAAGCAACTGCAAAACTGCTACTTACTGTCATGACAGGTATACTAAACCTGCTTGGATGTAGCCCCATCCAAGAAGAACAGAAAGAGAAGGAAAAACTGGAGAAGTTTGTTTGTTTTGAGGACCAGAAACCACACTTCCCCTTCCCACCACAGTCCACCTTCGCTATTTCATACAGCTTTTATATCTTTTGCTTGCTGCAGGGCCTCAATTGGTTCTTGCTGCACCTGTCGGCCAATTTAAACAGCTCTAAAGCTACAACCTATTCTGCAGGCATGATGACAGTTCAGTATTGACCTTTCCTTTTATGATTATACATATGACTGAGAGCAATGAATACTGCTAACAATACCCGGCTCTCACTTCTAAGGTTGTCCTTGCTAAGTGCCCATGCTACTGAGACCTTCTTTGAATATTTTTTTCAGGCACTGTAAGAGAAGAATAAATGTAAGAATGAATAAATTCTAGTTCAGCACAGGCACATATACAACAGAACCTAAGCATCTTACCATTGAAGACAACTTATTATTGCAATAAAGATATAGCAGCAACTGGCTTTTCGAACTACAGAATTAGAAAATATTTCCCCTCACTTTCAACAACACTGACAGCCTTAGCACATTTAACACTGCCTTAAATCATTTTTTCTTGGCTCTTCTGACCTTTAATTCTGACATGTGGAGGGTGCTGATTTTCCTCCTCTACTCTGCCTTCATAAGGTCCTACTGGGAACACTGTTCAGTTCTGGGGCCTGCAGCATGTGAAGGACATGGACTGGTTCGAGTGGGTCCAGAGGAAAGCAATAAGGATGATCAGAGGGCTGGAGCACTCCTATGAACACAGGCTAAAAGAGTTGGGGTTGCTCCGTCTGAAGAACAGAAAGCTCCAAGGAGATCTCATTGTGGCCTTCCAGTACGTAAAGGGGCCTACAGGAAAGCTGGAGAGGGACTCTTTATCAGAGAGAGTAGTGATAGCACAAGGAGTAACAGTTTTAAACAGAAAATTGATAGGTTTTGATCAGGTATGAGGATGAAGTTCTTAACTACAAGGGTGGTGAGGCACTGGAAGAACGCAGATTCCCCATCCCTGGAGGTGCTCAAGGCTGGGTTGGATGGAACCCTGAGCAGCCTGAGCTGGTGGGAGGTGTCCTTGCTCATGGCAGGGGACTGAAACCAGATGATATTTAAGGTCCCTTCCAACCACTCTATGATTCTACATTAGCTCTAACTAATGCAAATTCAGAGATGCCAGCACTACTGCATTAATTCACTCCTCTGTGAATGGTGTCAATTATTACTTTACTTAACTTTGTGTAACAACAGATATTTTTGTCTCTATCGAAACAAACGCTTGATTTTTAATTTCCCTGCTCATTTCGGTGTGCATTACTCTCACATTATCAGGATCCCTGCCTCATCTTGCCTTTGGTGTGCTGACCACCAGAGGGCAGGAGACCTCCAGCTATGCCTGCAGGCAGCAGTGCAGCAGGGGACTGCTTTCCCTCTTCAGTCTGCCCCAGAGCTACAGAAACCCTTTCTTTCTCTCACTAATTCACTAGATGCTGCTGTATGCTTGTCTTCACCACGCAGTAGTTGAAAAGGAAAATAAATGACATACGCTTCACTTGGTAAAAACAAGGTAAAGATACTCGAAAAGGTTGCAGTGTTGCAGAAAAACAGAATTTGGAGTTTTGCTCCAAACAATTTCCACTGGCCAAACAAGGTTTTGCAGAATTAATTATGGTGTTACTGTCTTTACAAAAGCCTAGTTTCTCTACCTGACTGAGAACGTAATGGGAATGACAGAAGGACAAATATATATCCACGACAGCCAGCTGTGTGACACAACTTCATAGCACCTTCAAAAGACAGCAAAGGCTCACAGGGCTGTTAGGTATTCTTGAAACAAAACTGCCTCTTATGGGTGCTTTAGCACTTTCAAAGAGTTTGCATTTGCTTTGCTGCATTATTTTTATCACTTTATAGCCAGGGTAAAGCAAGAAAGATATATACAGCTAGAATTCAAATATACCTGGAAGTTATATATTTGCTTTACAACCTTTAGTATAAAATTGCTTTAAATTACGCCATCTGCGCAAGTGTTAACATCCTTCACAGATCATTTATCTCTAATGTCATAATTATTAAAGTGGCCCTATTCATCTGGCACGCATATACATATTTTTCATTAATATTTAAAGCTTTATAACGTGTATTACCATACATGGTAGGTATATGCAGACACATGACTCTAAAACTATCAGTTTCTATACACTATGTATTCTACAGAGATACTTGCATAATTTCAGCTTGAATCATACTGCTTACTTGAACAAGAAAACATAAACAGAACTTTTTTTTTTTTTAAACTCCAGAAAATTGTTAGTAGAGGAAAATAACTTTCTTAAAAAAATTTTTTTTAAATGCTTACAAGTGCCCTAAGCTACAAACCTGTGTAAGTAATGTCACAGAATGGAAAGGGATGGTACGGACCTTTGGAGATGATCAAGTCTAACCACCCCAGTAAAGCAAGTTCCCTACAGCACATGAAAGCATCCAGGCAGATCTTGAATATCTCCAGAGAAGGAGCCTCCACAACCTCTCTGGGCAGTCTGTTCCAGTGCTCAGTCACCATCACAGTAAAGGAGTTCTTCCTAAGGATTATATGGAACTTCCTGTGTTCTAGCTTGTGCCCACTGCCCCTTGTCCTGTCGCTGGGCACTGCTGAAAAAAGCCTGGCCCAGGCTCTTTTGCTACTGAGGAAATTCAAGTTGGAAGAGTTATACAATCACCAACAACAGCTCCACCTCCATGACATTACTCAAAACAGTCCTCAGAGATGCAATTCTTCCCTTCCAGACTGTTAATCACACCTTCTTTCAGATGATCAGCAATCATGTCTCTTCAGAGACTGCAGGTGGCACTGATCTCACAGTGAAGCATACTTTGCTGCAGGTTCCCTCATCCCCACTCACCCCTGGCTAAAAAGGTACTTCACTGGGTAATCTACAGCTAACATTGCACTACACTTGCCATTATGAGCCTATTTTTCGATGCTTATCACCTCACCAAATGTAAACAGTTTTGGATCCCTCTGTATTCACCAAGTGTGGGCCTCAGGGTGACTCAGCTGTAGGCGGATCAGCACAAGGCTGTGTGAGCAGAACATCCTACAGGGGCACCCACTCAGTGCTACCATCCTGGTAACAAAGGAGAGGTTTCTTCCAACAATCAACATCTATAAAAGGTGACTGCAACCATTTTTAAAGGAAAAGGTGGGTCCTGACCACTTTTATAACCACGTGGGAAGCACACACGACCTCTGGGGGCAATCCAGGTGCTGGATCCAGGGCAGATGCTTGTGGTAGGAATCGATTGAGGTAGCTCCTCACCAACCTGTTTGCCTTAACTTCTGCCCAGCAAAAGTTGTGTGTCAGGTCTCCATGCTTACAGCTCTGAATAGACTTCATACAGAACCTGTATGCCTAAAAATTCAGTATCCGTGTGCATAATTGGTACCTGTATAAGTCTGCTCTTGGATACAAGCCAAGCCTGTGCATACTGAAATGAGATTAAAAGAGCTCAGTGCAGCAATGCACTCCAACCCTCTGTCTGCCACTGAGTTCCTATGTAAAGCTTCCCACATTGCTCACAAGCTTACAGCAAGTATATATGCATAATTCCTGCATGAGGCAAATCAGGCAAACTACATTTTCAGATGATCATTACTCATATGCCCCTTTTCGTCCAAGCATCCAACTAGATGCCATCAGTTCTGAAGTGCTGAGCACTGAATATTCCCAGCTGTAACCACCTTAAATGGAAACTCTGTGCTCAGCATAAATGATGTAAAACCTTAAGTATTATGACAAACGAGGCTTTGGGCATTTCAAATGGACTACTTGTGGGTGGTAAACTGGTGTTAATGTTGGTGCCCTGCTTTCATTCCCTAAAGCAATTTGTAGGGGATTAGTAAAAATTCTCATCCTCTTCTTCAGATGATCCAAAATTCTTGATTTCCAGTCAGCTCAACCACAATATGAAACTCGCCTTTCTTTCTGGGCACCATTTTGGAGTTTCACAAATTATTAATTCTCCTCCCAGGAGGACAACATGGCCCCACAGTGTATGTGCACCTGATCTGAGTGGTGGATCAGTAGAATCATCTGAAAGAAGCATTACAGGCCATGTAATTTAACCACTAAGCTATTATAAATTATAACTGGAAAGAATCAGAAATCTTCAGAAAACTTTGTATACCGTTTATGTATTTTCTACTTCCTTTGAACTTCTACCGATTGAAGAGGAATCCATCCTTCCTCCTTAATATGACATGAATGTGTATAAGAATGTGGTCACTTCCTATGAGGCATATATTTCACATTTCATTCAGCTATTTATTAGTATTGAAATGTAACAATAAATATTCCTCTTACTTCTGTGCTCTGCACAGGATTTGAATGCTGGGCAGAAAATAATACACTGAATTATACACTGAATTTACATGGATTAAAAGAAAAATAGTTTTTAAAAAGCAGTTATTTAGTGGCGTTCATCTATGGTACAGAACGAAACAGGGAACCTATGGAACAGAAACATCATTCTGTGCCACGGAAAGACTAACCTCAGTTCATATAGAC